TCTCTCTCTCTCTCTCTCTCTCTCTCTCTCTCTCTCTCTTTCTCCTCACTGTCTATCTCTGTCTCTGTCCATCTGTCTTTCTGCCTCTTGACTGTGGAACAAATGGAAACTCTCAGCTATTGCTCTAATGTCAGCCCTGCCTGCCACCATGCTTCCACCATGGTGATCATGTCCTTCTGGAACTGTGATCTCCAGTAAACAGTCCCTTTGATAAGTGTCCTTGATCATAGTGTCTTCACAGAGCTAGAAATGTAAATAAGACATCCTACAGAATTCTGGAACATGTCTTTCTTGCTCTTCTCTTTCCCCCACGTCCCCCCAACTCACACACATTACCTACTTTTCTTCCAAGTTCTAAGCAAATCTCACCTCTTCCTCCGACTTCCTTCTGCTACCTCTTGTCATTCCAGCACTCATGACCCCTTGAGGCACTGATTGTAAAGGGAAGTTGCCCTCTTTGTATCTCGGTTCACGTGTGGTTGGTTGAATTATCTTTTCCTGGTCACTGGTCCCATCATGGCTTGGCTACATAAGTCCAGATCCCATTTGACTTGACCATTTTCTTTGTTGTTGTTGTTGTTGTTGTTGTTGTTTTTGGTTTTTCAAGACAGGGTTTCTCTATGGCTTAGGAGGCTGTCCTAGAACTAGCTCTTGTAGACCAGGCTGGTCTCAAACTCACAGAGATCCGCCTGCCTCTGCCTCCCGAGTGCTGGGATTAAAGGTGTGCGCCACCACCACCCGGCTTTTGTTTGTTTGCTTGTTTTTGCTTTCAAAAATATAATACTAAATTTGGTTTACTGTTTTCATTATTGTATTTCCAGGACCCAGTGCAGTGACAAATGACACAGTTACTGACTGATGTGTGTTTGGCTGAGTTATCTCTCATAAGGAACTTTCGTGAGGGGGCCAATATATCATTATTACTGGGGATAACCCAACTGGAGCCCCATTAATCTTATACCATTGGACAGAATGAGATGAAATTATGGATGAAAATCCTCCAAGAGTGGTGATGGAAAACACAGCGCTGGCCTCAGACACACAGAATAATAGAGATTATTATTTGTCTATAAGATGTCTCAAGGTCAGTTAATGGTATACGTTTTTGTTTGATTGGTAAAGAACCTGAAATTAAAAAAAAAAAATAGACTGCAGGTGTCTTTGGGACCTGTCATCTGTGGCAGCCCCCCTTCCTGGTCATGGAAAAACATGTTCCTGTTCGTGGGAAAGCTGTCACCATTTCATTGGTATCCTATTCTGATTCACGTTGATAACATTCTTCACTGTGAAGAATATAGGTCCTAAATAATACAACCCAAGCCTCCAGACTTCTAGCTCACTGTTCTTTCTACAAATAGGTCCGAATGCTCAGGCACCACACAGTCACCAGTGGAGCTTTCAACTAATGATGTTCTCTTACAAAAATAAAAGCCTTAGGTTACTCACGCCAGTTCCAGATTTTGGTGCTAGAACATTGTGCTATGATGACCCATTTATAAATTTATTCTGTCCTTCATAAGCCTCAGTAGTATACTTGCTCTCATTAAAAAAGAAATGGAGAGCCGGGCATTGGTGGCACACACCTTTAATCCCAGCACTCGGGAGGCAGAGGCAGGCGGATCTCTGTGAGTTCGAGGCCAGCCTGGTCTCCAGAGTGAGTGCCAGGATGGGCTCCAAAGCTGCACAGAGAAACCCTGTCTCGAAAAACCAGAAAAAAAAAAAGAAAGAAAGAAAAGAAAAGAAAAGAAATGGAAACATACTAGCCTCCAATGCACTATGTAGCTGAGGATGGCCTTCAACTTCTGATCCCTCTGCCTTTTACCTCCCTTGAGCTGGGTGTGCACCACAACACCCAGTTTTGTGTGATCCTTGGGGTGGAACCTGGGTTTCCTTAATGCTGGGAAAGCATTCTATCAACTGAGGTATAACTCCAGCTTTTCAATTACTATTTTAATCATCAAGCAACCTTTTAATATCTGTCATAGCTTACCAATTCCTTTTTAATTCATTCAACTCAATTTTATTTTCTGTGTATGAATGTTTCATTTACACATATGTATATACACCACATGTTTGCCTGGAGCCCTCAGAGTTTGTAAGATGGTGTCAGATCCTCTGGAACTGGAGTTACAAACAGTTGCGAGTCACTGTATGGGTGTTGGTAACTGAACCCTGATCCTCAGCAAAAGCAGCAAGTGTTCTGCAGTAGTTTAAATGTAATGGGTTCCCATAAGCTCATCCGGAGTGGCACTATTAGGAGGTGTGGCTTTGGAGTGGGTGTGGCTTATTGTGGAAGTGTGTCACTGTGGAGGCAGGCTTTGAGGTCTCATATATGCTCAAGCCATGCCCAGCGTCTCAGTTTACTTCCTGTTGCCTTCGGAGCAAGGGCAAGAACTCTCAGCTCCTGCTCCAGCACCATGTCTGCCTGCCACCATGTCTCACCATAATGACAATGGACTGAATCTCTGAAAATGTAAGTCACCCCAATCTAATGTTTTTCCTTTATAAGAGTTGCCATGGTGGTGGTGTCTCTTCACAGTAATAGAACACTGAGACACTCTTGTCTAATGAGCCATCTCTCCAGTCCCCACTTAGTAATTCTTAGATGTTTTGGATGGCTAAGTAGGAAAGTTACTGAGCACTTTAACAGTACTATAATAAATTTGAGATATATTTCCAAGGTTGATTCGTGTTTTGAATTCCAAAATGTTGGCAGGTCACGTTTAAGGATGAACATAATTTTTCTCCTCTAACTTAGAAAGCAATTCTTTCTAGAACATTACCTCCTTAGACAAACAGCTCTTAAACTGTAGAGAACTTCACAGTCATCTGGAAGGCTTCTGAAAAGTCTAGATTGCTCAGATCCACAATGCACCATTCTGAATCAATAGGTCTGGGATCGCACCCAGATGCCTGCCTCTTTAGCAAACACCTTTACTGACCTTTCAGGCAAGTGGCTGATGATCTCACCCCAGAGTCCTCTGATAAATTTAATATGCTTTTAATTTCCCCAGTTTCCTCCTATGAGGGTTGTTTTATAAAGAAAAGAATACATGAAAAGGAGTTCAATGTATTTGAATTTAGCAAATAGCAGAGATGATCAAATTGATTTATCAGATGTAGCAAGTAGGTTTCCTTATAGTACAATCTAATAAGTGTGCATGTGTGTGTGTGTGTGTGTGTGTGTGTGTGTGTGTGTGTATGTGTGTGTGTGTGTGTGTGTGCATGTGTGTGTGTGTATGTGTGTGTGTGTGTGTGTGCAGGCACTTCATAGAACACACACATATGCATGTGTGTTGGTTAGTTTTAACTGTCAACTTGACACAACCTAGAGTCACCTGGGAAGATCTTTAACGAGGAATTATCTAGAACAGATTGGCCTGTGGGCCTATATTTAAAGCATTATCTTGATTCATTTTTTGTTTTAGTTTTGTTTTTGTTTTTGTTTTTCGAGACGGAGTTTCTCTGTGTCGCTTTGGAGCCTATCCTGGCTCTCTCTCTGGAGACCAAGCTGGCCTCGAACTCAGAGAGATCCGCCTGCCTCTGCCTCCCGAGTTCTGGGATTAAAGGCGTGTACCACCAACGCCTGGCTATCTTGATTCTTAATTATGTTGGAAGGACCCAGCCCATCAAGCTGGTCCCAGGGCTGTATTACAGTGAAACATTTAACTGAGAATCAAGCAAGGATGCATTCATCTCTCTTTGCTCTTGACTATGGATGTGATGTGACAGCTGCTTGAGTTCCTGCCTTAATGTCCCTGGAATGATGGGCTATAATCTGAAATTGTAAGCCAAATAGACCCTTTCCTTCCCTTTGTTGCTTTTTGTCCAGTATTTTATCACAGCAACAGGAATTAAACTAGGGCATGATGTTATAAAGTCACAGGGCAACAGACCTAAATGAACAACATTTACAATGCCTCTTTCCTGCAGGAAAAAAAAAAAAAAAAAAAAAAAACACTACCAATTAGCAGTAAGAGTTGAACATGAAGTTCACTGAGATAGCAGTGACTTCCCTCAGCCTCCAGATACATCTGTTCTACATAATAAAGACATAAAATAAACACCCAGGCAGCACACAAGGATAAGTCTACAGATCCAGTAAAGGATACCCACTTAAAGTTAAATTTCCAGCGCACAGCAGTGGGGCCAGGGTATATTCAAGTCTTCAATAAGGTTCTCTTAGCTAATTGTGGAAACTTGGAAAGCAGACACTGGCCTTGAATGGCAACCATATCCAGAACTGAGGGGTGCTCAGCATTTATTTCAGAAGCTGGTAAGTGCCCTTGAGATGCTCTTGAGAAAAGTGCACAGCCTCTGCTCCACTGTGGGCCCCACATTGTTGAAGCTCTCGGGGACAGCGGCTCATCTGCAAGAGTGGGCAGCTGATCCAGAACTACAGCTTGTGGGTAGGTGGCCCACAGGGAGACTTAGAAGAGAATTTGGAAAGGGCCTATAGGAACAAGATGGAGCTGGATCTTAGATAGGGAGTATCTGAAGCTTTGGGAGAGAGACCCAAACTCTCAACCTCCAAGGTAGTATTACCTGCAGAATATGCAGAAATGATGGTGGACACTTTAAGCAAGCAAACAAGGGCCAGATGGTTGACACTAGCATTTCCTACAGAGTGCACAGAAATTGTGAGCAGATTAAACAAACAAAGGCCTGAAGAGTTCAGAGTACCCATGTTGGAAACAGCATATGCTCTTGAAAGTGTCAGTTAGTGGAAAGATCAAGATTGAAGGGGAAACTGTGGGGGACCCAGCTTTAGTCACAAGGCCTGGCACCAACTCCTCCCTCTATTTACAAGCAGGGGCAACTGAGACCTGTAGTCCACAATCTCCTGTGCAATGAACTGGGAATAATCATAGAGGCTATGATTACTCAATGCCTATTCTTAATTGGTGATATGCTTTTGTGATCCAACAGAAACTTTGTACCATATTATTCACTTGTAATTATAGCAAACCTAGTGGTTATTTCAACATTACATACACATCCATACACACACACACACACACACACACACAGCCACGCACATGCATACATACACACTCGTACATGCACACATGTGTATATATGAGTTGCACAGTGCTTGTCATTATATGAGACTGAAAAAATATTTAATTGATGAAATGCAAAGCTAACATTGCTCTACAATTATGAGAGAGGCGGAGTCTCTTCTAGTGTCCATCATGAAGAACTTTGGAGGAGTGAAGAGAAAGAAAAACATGAAAGCTGGGGTGGGGTGGGGTGGGGTGGGGTGACAGGTGCTGAGCTGAGTACTGTATACAGTTTCATGACCTCAGCCACGGTAGTGTGGTTGGTGTGTGACTTCCTCAATATCCTCATAAAGAATTTAGTTCAGGAAAATGTCTAACAATGTGGAAGCTATTTATGATCTCCAGCCACATTTTCATGTATTGATTTACAGGGCCAGAGCTACTCAGCACTTTCTGAACCATTAGAATGCAAGCTTCCTATTTCAAGGAGGGTGTGTGTTTCTTTCTCCTGCCTCGTCTACCTTCAATTTTCATGTGGGGGAAGGGCATGGCACTTCTCTGAAGAGTTTTGGGTCCATGCTGTGTGCTAAAGCATCTGGAACTAACTCAAAAACACCAGCTCATACAGAAACAAAAAACAAAAAATTAAAGGTTAATTTAATTGGGACCATTAATATTGACAGTTATCAATGAGGTGGTGTTTGTTGACTCCCATTATTTTGTTGCGGTGGAATAGATTTTTTTTTCCCCTCTCTTTTGATTTGCAGGTCTGGGATTATTTATTTCTTGTGTTTTCTTGGGTGTGGTAAACCTCTTCATGTTGAAGTTTCCTTCCACCACCTTCTGTAGAACTAAATGTGTAGATCCTGCCTAAATTTTCTTTTATCATGGAAGAGATTCCCTACTCTGACTGTTGTGATAGTTTTGCAGGGTATAGTAGTCTAGGTTGGCATCTGTGGTCCCTTATAGTTTGAGAAGCTTCACAAACTGGCAGGCATGGTCTTCCTCAAGGTCTTTGAAATATCTTCTTCGTCTCATGGAATATTCTTTCCCTAGACCCTGAATAATCTTATTGCAAGTCACCTCCTCAGAGAAGTCTTTTACTAACTATCCAACCCCACTCATTTGTTTTTCTGTTTTTTATTTTTACTTTTTTAGTTAGCCTACAAAATCATGGGTCTTTAGAGACTTTAGCATTTGTCACTCCTAGCCTACCACTTTATTATAATATGTTGTCATTTGATTAATTTCTACACTCCTGGCCACTGGGTCAGAA